AAAAGAGATGAAATTTTGCAACTAATGGAGCAAGATCGACACACAAGCTGTCAGAAGATAGCGGAGACACTAAGCATCAACCACATAACAGTTTGGAATAATTTAAAAAGAACAGGCTAAGTTAAAATGCTTGATTATTAGGTGCCACATAAATTGAAGCATAGAAATGTAAATAACCGAACTATTATTAGTGAAACGCTACTGAAACACAAGAAAAACGAACCATTTTAGAGCTGATTAACTGATTAAATATGAGAACATCTAAGATAAGCTGTCGTGGTGAAAGATCAGCGATATTCCTTAAACTACTTAGATTGACGACAAACAAGGTTATGTTGCGCCTTTGGAAGGATTGGGGGAAAATTTTTATTACGAGCTAGTGCATGATTAATTTGGCTCTTTCCAACTTACAATTCGAACGCCTGATAAAGACAATCAGAAAAAAATCGAATATAATTGGCCAAAAGAAAAGGAGTCAAAGGAGTCTTTGATAAATCGGAAAAAAGTTGACGGAACTTGGTTGGAAACTTTTGAGTCATCCATCGTATAGTCCGAACCTTGCACTGTCTGACTACTATTTGTTTCAATTACTGTAAAACTCTTTTAATGGTAAAAAATTGACCGACCAAAGAAACTTAGCCAAGTTTTTCACTAAAAAGCCGCAGAAGTTCTATACTGATGGAATCATGAAGTAACCTAAAAAAGGACAAAAGCTTAAATCTCTACACGAAGGCATAGGATTATTTTAAAATATTAAATCATTTATAGTTGATTATCAACTATAAATTATTTATTATAAATTATTTATTAATAAATTATAAAAAATAATTAAGAAATTTCTAAGAATATTCCACTAAAACTGTAAAAAGTGTATCGGTATCTGCATACCTATATGAATTAGACTTAGATGAGCCAATCTTTAATATATAATTCTTTTGAGTTGATTGTTAAATATAATTTCGTTTTCCTATGCAATATATATATAAGTCTAGTAAGTTGAAAGATATTCCCTAAGTTATTCCATAAAGTTTGTTAAAAAACTAATAGTAGCGATAGTACCGATGGGATGTCTATTGGACTTTGATATATTTTTATTTACATTAAGATATCTTTCATTCTTTTAATTGTATAACTCAATATATATTCCTCTTGTTATTCTTTCATATATGGAGTTAAATCAGTTGAAATATCCGTTCAGATATTCCATGAAGATAGTTCAATGAAGATGGTGTCGATGATTTGGAATGCAAATTAAATTTTTATCATTTTGAGTTGCTTGTTATATAGGTATATATGTATTTCTTATGCTATTCCTCCGTACATGTATTAACGGAAGAATAGCTAGGTATTGATGAATACCTAGACATCTAGGTATTGATGAATACCTAGACATACTATCATTCAATCTTTTTATATGCTTTTAATATTAAGAGACGCCCACCACTCCACAGTTGCTATGATGTGTGGTTAATTAACTTAGTAGTTTGCATTTTTTTTAAATATTCGTAACATATAAATTCAACCTAATAACCCCTTAAATCTTCGTCAGACAGATTACTACACGCCACTTTGCCAAGGCATTAATTCCGTTTATGTATATGAGAAAATTTGAAAGTTTGCTAATTACATATCGAATCTTAGCTTTATATCCGTTTTTTTCTAGAAACACCTTAGCAATAATCTCGATTATTTTTACTTCACATAAAACAATATACGGATAAACAATGCTTTTTCTGAAGTTGTCAATAATGGCGAAGTTTAAGGAAGAATTATTTACATAAACGTGACTCCATATAAATTGTCTGTAAACGTGGAAGCGTAGGAGCCTTAAATCATTTAATTAGTTAAATCAAAATTTAAAATTTAAATTAAAGTAAAATAAGTTGAAACATAAAAAATTCTGATCTTGAATATATCTTCATTAACTATATATCAAGTCACAATGTTATTAGTTTAGATTGAAGTTCAATGTTTTATAAAAAAATAAATTAATTTTGAAAAAAAATTTTTATATCCCAGTCTGTGAATAATATACCAGTGCTGTAATTGATGGTATTAGCTACTACTATATAATATAATTGTACATTATAATCTTTATCAGTTATTAACTATCACAATTGAAAAATAGTTTTAAACTTTTTTAGACTCTACGACAATAGGCTACCAAGCCCTAGTGATTCAATATGATCATCGTAAAATCTATAAAATCTCTTTAAGGCAATATCTTCTCCAAGATATGTTACAAAATCAACAGGACTTTTAAAAACTAAGAACAATACAAATCAGTTCCTTTATAGCAATTTAAACAACGATTTTCAGCGTCTGTTAATTTATTGATAATATACAATTTATTATTATTATCATAGTCCAAAAGGCGCCGCAACCTGAATAGACCTATTGTGCCTTGTATATTTCGATTTTTAATAATTTTAGCATAAGTGGTAAAGCTCTTATCTAGCAAGTGCTAAACAATCACAAAAAAAATTCCATGAGCATTTTTTCCATTTTAAAAAAGTGGCAAACATTAGAAGAGACCACAATCGAGGGTTGTAGTAATTTGTAAAGTAATCAGATAGAGCACTTCGCCACCCTACTTAGTAAAAGTATGTCACACTATATTCCTTTCTCTCAATGACGAAATCGTTTCACATGATGTTGGCTTACACTCTTAAACAACTGGTCTGCTCTTTTTTTGTTTCTTCTGTTTCTTGATGACCCTATTTCTATGGATTTTTGTCCATAGGAAGACTCACAATCATTTAAGAGTATGTTTGCCTCTCTTGACTAAGTAGTCAGCTTTTTCATGTCTCTCATGTAAGACTGAGTTACTTTTGTAACTCAAAAAATTGTTATATCTTCTTTGGGACATTGTCAACCTGCTCAATTATCCTAATTACCTAAAGTAAACCGAACTGAATACCTGAGTATTATTTCGAAGAAAGGCTGGACAATACTTTTGTAACTCAAAAAATTGTTTTTTCTTCTTTGTGTTATTGTCAACCTACTCAATTATTCTATTTACCTGAAGTAAACCGAATTGATGGGCAGAACTTATATTACCTTTTTGTGGATAGGTATAATCTTCATCAATGGTTGTGTTTTTGGATGTACCTACAATGTACGTGACATATATTCCATACAAATTCACTTGACTTCGAGTCACGTAGACACAAAATACAAAATCAGAGATCTCAACACAGTAGCAGATGGTTTCCCTTTGAATACCACCATTCAATATTTACTTTTGATCTTGAAATTTCGCATACACACTTGATAATATTCCATTATATTATATATATATATATATATTTTTTTTTCATTGGTATATAAATTATGCCATTAAGGGATTAAAAGTTAAGCCTCAATAAAATTAGTTGAATTATTATATTTGATTATGTACAGATTAAGTATGCAAATTCCGGTGGACCGCTAATATTCTGGTTCTTGTTCTAATTTGACGTTTAATTTGTGCTAATTTAGATTTTTTATTCAGTGTGATAAATGGCGCAATAAATACTTTTTTATTGCTTCCAAACTGAAATGTGTCGAATATATTAATAACTTTATAATTGTCTAATTTGAAATTTATGTAAACCTATAAAGCTTGCGTTCGATTTGATAATAAAATATTTAAAAGCGCACGCCAATAAATTAATATTTATTTAATTTTATAATTTCGTCAAGAATACAAATATCCGTCAGAACATAAGCAACGAATATAATTGCGAAGCTATAGATTTTAGGTTGAGGTCAGCAGCAGTGGCTAATACGAGTGCATATAAATAGTATTTTTAAACATTATTCGAGTACTTCATATCTGTTCTGGTGTTACACATAGCTTAGCTATATATATATATATGTATAATAATTACATTCTCTAACATGTCAGTACAAAAATATGTTTTAATTACTTTATTGTACAATTTTTTAATTATTTAAAATGTACTTCAAAATAAATCTATCCAAATTATTTAAAAAAATATTATATTATAAAATATATTCATAGATACGATACAATAATTAAAGGAAGCTTTAGAAGGTTTTCATTTGGAATTATCGAATAAATGAATGTGTTATCGATAAATGAGTTCATACTGACTATATTGCCTTTGTTTATGACTATGAAATGCTAGAATTTAGAACTAATTTCTGAACTCATCCATAAGTAAAAGAAAATTGGAATTTAATAACTTAAACAGAACAATAGAATTATATGCTTCAAATGATTAAAAAGAAAATAACATTTAATTTGACATCTGGTTTGAAATGGTAAGTATAAAAAATTATGAATAATTTGATCCAAAATTTGAACTAAATTTGAACCAAATCATTCCGAAATAAAGTACGGAAAACCACCAAGTAATGGAAGAAGTCAAAGTACATCCACTATATACACTGTCCGCTTCAAATAGTGGATGAAATTAAATACCTCAGCTAAGCACCTGACGCTATAAGAGATATATTTATATCGAATATACACAGCTCATAAAACCTACTATTAACATTTTAAACATTTTATGTTTAAAATCATGTCACAACAATATAATATAAGCACATACACAACCTCACTTATATCCACTTCAACCTTGCAAAGTGTCTTTAGTCCTGTACAACAAACTAATGATTCATTCCACTCTTGCTACTAAGACGACACATAAAGGACAATGATACGAAAAAAAGCATAATAAAGGATCAAAATGTTATAAGATATATTAAATCCCATTACATAAACTTGTTGTGACACTAAATGAATCCATTATGGAACGCTTAAGCACGAATTGTTAGAATATCTATTAAAAAACGAATAAAACAATGCTTCAGAAATATGCGATTTCTTGGAGAACAGAGACGAAGAATGATAGTGATTATGGAAACACTGATTCACCTCGGGCTT